TTTTATGACAAAACAGTGGAGTGTGAAAATGAAAGCTACCAGAGAGAGCAGGGGAAGGTGAAGAAGATGTTTTGGTACTGTGTCTGTTCTCTATTGGAAACCAGCTAAGATGACTCCAAAGGAAATAGCTAACGGCTAAAATAAGTTATTAGATGTCCACAAGGCTAATACATACGAGCTGCCCAAAGACCAGATATGACAAAAAATGTTACTTGAAGTTTACAAAAGAACACTGAGGCTTAGGAATAAAATAAGTTCAACTAGGGTCATCTATCAAGTCATGTTCCAGGGAAATGTTAGGGTTTGGCCAAGTTAAAGCCCAGATCGCAACTCATGTCTTTAACAGTGGCACATCACATCTCATATCCTGCAAATGTGGCAATGCTGAGCAAATTCTGACTGTAGAACCAAATTTTCCCCCAAATTTTGTACATCAACATTTTGAGCTTAATGCTGTCTGTAGATTTAGATGAAGATCAAATCACTTTGTGAATAATTAACAGGTAAAACTAGCTAATTCCCATGTAGTCACCTTTTCATGAAATAGATTTAAACCTGCGGAAGTCATCAGTGCATCAAAATTCAGGGGTCGGATGTGAGTATTGATTGTTAATGCTGAAGTGGTTGCAATTTTTCTGCAGCAATGCAGTCTTTATTTTCTGAGGCACTGCAGGGCATTGATAAAAAATTATAGTTACCTGCATAGATGTAAGTAAATAATGATCAGTGTTTCTTGGCTTAGAGACAAAACAATCAGTGTTCACTCATGATAAAGAATAAGAAAGTACATTTCTTGAATGGAATTACAATTACAGGTCTCAGTATACATTTGCAAATAAAACTGCTATTATAATACTTTCTACATTTTTATGGATCTGTGTATGTATGGCTGAACATTGTTCCTCTCAATGCTGCTCCCTAGTGGGAATATTAAGAAAACACCAATTCAATTCAATTCAATTTTATTTATATAGCGCCAAATCACAACAAAAGTCGCCTCACGGCGCTTCAACATGGCAAGCATCATGAAGAAAGATGAAGGATGTGCACACATACAGTACGAGTTATCTTTCCTTATATCATTAAAGCTGGAGTGCCTTTGCCACAGTTGGTGTATGAAGATAATTAGCTGATCACATATTCAGTTCATATTTCTATTTGTGTTTATGTAAAAAAAATACACATACAGTGCATGAAAAGTATTTGCACGGTTTCACTGTTTTCTGTTAAATTTATCATGCTTACGTGTTTAGGGTTCATCAAAAAAAATAAAAAAATAAAAAAATAATAATATTAGTCCTAAGATAGCCCGAGTTATGATAAAATCAATTTTTTAAATAATGGTTTCATTTATTAAGGTAAAAAAAGAAAAAGCTGTCTAACCGTACCTGTCACTATGTGATAAGTAATCGCTACCTAAACCTAGGGACTACAATAGAGCATTTGCAATAACTAATGATGAGGCTGTCACATTGCTGTGGAGGAATTCTGGCCCACTCTCCTTTCTAAAAGTGTTTAATTTAGCCACACTGGAAGGTTTTCAAACATGTACAATCTGTTTAAGGTGATTCTAGAACATTTTATTCACATTTAAATCTGGACTTGGATTAGGTCACTCTTAAACCTTAACCTTATTTTCATTGTTTTGACATGATGTGGACTTGCTAGTGAGTTTTGTCTTGCTGTGTAACCCAAGTGCACTTTTTATCAGGCAAGAACGGACATTCTCCTTTAGGATTTTCTGGCAGAGAGCAGAATTCATGGTTTCATCAATTATGTTGGATCATCCAGGTCCTGAAGCAGCAAAGCAGCCTCAGACCCTCACACCACCACCATGTTTAACTGTTCTTTTTTATGAATTGCTGTGGTTTAAGGTGTAAGGGATGCAAACCTCCCAAAAAGTTCAAATTTTGTGTCATCAAACCATAGAATATTTTCCTAAAAGAGACCATCAAGATGTGTTTTGGCAAATGTGAGTTGAGCCTTTGTGTGTGTTTTTTTTTATTTTAAACTCATAGAGCTCAGAAGGTTTGACAAGGTTTATCTTTGACCCCTCTGCAACCCTGAATTGGATAATAGGATGGATGTTTGCTTCTTTGGTGTTGGCTTTTTTTCCGTTGTTGTTAAAAATTAATAAGAAAGAAGCAAACTGTGCAAACAAATGCACCTGGAAGTGTGACGAACAAAACGGTTGAAAACACCCTTGATCACAAAATATAAAGAGAAATAAATCATTCAATAGACTAATGTGACATTAAATTAACATAAAATATAACCATTAATTATTTAGAAAATATTACAAAGATGTTTTGTTTTTCTATTGCACTTTTTAATCTCTTAATTTTCATATTTGCCAGTCTCGGCAGATGGCCGCCCCTCCCTGAGCCTGGTTCTGCCGGAGGTTTCTTCCTGTTAAAAGGGAATTTTTCCTTCCCACTGTCGCCAAAGTGCTTGCTCATAGGGGGTCATGTGATTGTTTGGTTTTCTCTGTATGTATTATTGTAGGGTCTAGCTTACAATATAAAGCACCTGATACGACTGTTGTTGTGATTTGGCGCTATATAAATAAAATGGAATTGAGTTGAATTGAATATTACATTCCCCAAATGAAATGACTCTTCGATGTAATACATAATTGCATTTTTCACCTTATTTGTTTCCCAAAGTTT